CGCAGTATGTTTTCAAGTAGAAATGTAATCGTAGAATTAAAATATAGAAATGTAATACTGCATTAATGAAACTGCATAAATGAAAATATACCCCTTTGGAGCTGAATTTCTTTCGGATCGAGTAAGGGGATACCTCGGCGCGGCTTTCGGGAAATGTCATTAGCGAGAAACCACGGGGCCCTTCGCTTCTTCGAAGCGGAGAATCGGGCTTAGCGAGGGTACGCGACGAAGAAGGGTAATCGAGAATCGAAAGAGAGAGAAGAAAGGGAGGGACAGAGATGGACTATGAGAAAAAAGGGAAAAAGAATTTAGGAACAGGGCGAGTCCACTCGAGAGTCGGTACCCCAATAAATATGAAGACAACGACAACGACGATGCCCGTTGTGCCCAGAACAGGTTGGAGCTAATTCAGTTCCCCTTCCTGCTCCCCTGTCCCCCTTTTTCTACCTTCCTCACGGTGTTTCGCCCTCTTCCTCCTCCCTCACTTCGTCTCTCCTTAAATCGCTCGATTCAACGTTTTTTATACTGCCCTTCCTTCTGCATCAAATCCCCTCTCTTCTCGCTTCTTTTAGTGACTCTTCTTTCTTCTCGTGCATCCCATGCGTGCCGTGAGAAGTTTTTTATTTGCCGCCGAATCTAAACTTCTCAATCTTTTGAGAAAAAAAAATGGAAGAATTCGCAACTTTAAGAATTAACAAAAGTTTAACAATCCGAAGTAATAAATATATAAATTGGAACATTCGAGAATCCAAGAAAAATGTTAATTTAAGAAATGCGCTATCTTAAAATCGAGTGAAAATTTTATACAGATTTCTTTTCACAGTGCAGGGCCACTTGCCAAGTCATGGAGTCTATGTTGATCGCAAAAAAAGATCGACAATACTACACGCACATATCAAAATATGAAATAGTAAGTAAAAAAGTTCTAATTCTTTTGCATTTAAAATCAATTCCAAATATAAATACTAAATCAAACCTATTTGGAATTATCGACTGTTTATATTTGTACTTTGGTTTATATGTATGTATGTGTATCTATTATTTCAGTCTTTTCTTTCTACTTCATTTTAATTTAAGACGAATTATGTACGACTGACGATTTCACATTTTATTCCGTTAAATTTGCCATCAGCTGACATTCCACTCGCGTGAACTAAAATAAAAAGTAAAATCTATTACAACATTATTACTATATCTGTATATAATATATTTATTTATTGTATAGTGTACTTATTTTTTTCCTATATTTTATTTAATGTGTCCGTTTTCACACATATATTACAGCTTGTCTATAATTATTTCACTTTCCTTCACTTTCCAGTATTTGATTTGTATTTAGAGGAGTCTCCAATTATGAGATAGGTTCTTCATTTGGAATAGTGAGGTTTCTGTTAAATTACTAGGCATCGTCAGTTGATTCCACCATGAATTTCCCTGGCGAAAATGACAAGCTTTATAAAGCGTTGATAACTGTTAAATGAAGGTTTTTTAAAAGTTACGCTTTCAAACTTTATGAGAATGCTTACACAACGCCGTTGTGTTTTAAACGCTTTCAGAACGCTTATAAAATACTGTGTATAACGTTTCATAAAAGTTCTACAACGCTAAGTTTATAAATGCTATATACAAACGTCTTCTAAACGCCGCAGCGTTGCAATTTCCGCTCTACAAATTCTCTATCGACTATATCTAAACTCTCAACGAACTCCTGCAAACGCTATATACAAGAACTTATGAAACGTTTTATTTTCGCCAGGGTTATTGCTTTTGGAGCGAAATCTGTTTCGTGAAAAATTTATTAGATTGTATAATTGTTGCGACAAAAATTTGTGATTGAATTTAGATATTGAAAACCTGTCATCTCATATTAGAAACCTACCTCATAATAGAGGCCTTTCCTGTATATTTCTATTATTTGTGCATATTTGTGTGTGTCACTTAGTATTTTTATACAATAATATACGTGTATAATGTTATAATCAAAAACATAATGTAATAATATCTATGCAATCATAATTTCAAAGCTTTTTCCACTTATATCTTGATTATCTTATTTTTAAATCTCCGAATAAAGCGGATTCGCGCGCCGTTTCAGATCGTCATCCTTGATCATAGCTTCGTGTTTCTGAAGCTTTTAGAAGTACGTAGGTAACCTGGGCCGACCATTCTAGCCCTTCATTGCGCCTCGGGGCGAGGGAGTTAGCCGTCCAAGCGCGAGGAAAACTTCGATTGAGGATAACTTTCAATTCTTCGGGAAAGAAAGAAAAATTTCACACAATAAAGTCTAGTAGAGGACGAAATCCTTAAAACCGACTACCTGCTCCTCTTCAAGCAGATCAAATCGCATAAATGCTATCCAGCACTTGCACAAGAAACAGGGATCGCTGAAATGTTTAGAGTAAAAAGCGATTTGTTTTTTTTTGTTAATTTATTATACGAGTGATTAAAATTTGTAAAATGACATAAAGTAGTCAATAGAAAGAAAAGTTGGATTAATATATTAATAAAACTTTATTATCTCTCATTAGCTCAAACAACACAGGTAGCACAAAGGTGAACGGAAGTTCTTGGGGAATTTATTTTAAAGAATACCTGCAGAATTAGAAATGTACACGAAAATTGACATATTTTGAAGAATTCTTGAAGAATCAGCCACAATTTGTCTTGAAGTATTTCTTAGAAGTTTATTATGGTGCATGTAACGTTCCCAATCATTTTTATTGTATTCTTCTATGAATTTGTAAAGAATTACAATTTAGATAGGGAGGAAACTTAAAAACTACCTTGCGAGGTCACACTGTGCTGTCTGGGAAAATACACACAAATCGATATAACAATAAAATAGATACAACACATCTCTTGTGCACATTTTCTGCAACTGTATGTCCTTTTTTCAGGATGAAGCTGTCCGAACCGCAGCCACATTTTTTCAGAGACTTGAAATGGATGAAGAGAAATACGAGCCGACCAAATTACTGGCTCCTGAGAATAGCAAAAGCATCCATCTGAACGACTATGATGTTGCTGTGTCATTGAGAAAGAATACGGACGGAACATGGAGAAGAGGAGGGTATTACTACGCAAAACAGGAGCATACGGCGATATTGGCCAGCTGGATTATCGTCGTCGCGGAAGACAGCACAGTCAAACACTACAGGTATTTTATGTTCTTTAATGTGACTTTTATATGGATATCAAGGGAATGGGAATACCGAGAAAATAACTTGAGACAAAAATAACAAAAACTTTAAGCAGAGATGAAAGAGTGGGAAAAGAGTGGGAAAGAGTGTCTACAGGCAAACGGCCCCACGTTTTGCGCATTCGATTTCGGCCACAAAGTAGGTACCAAACGAAAGGTCTCGTCAAGCTGATTACAGATACGTCAGTCTCAGAGTGTACCTGTTTAACGTTCCAGAGATATCGGGCTCCAAAGGTTCCATTCCATTCCCAACAAATGGTCGGCGTCTGTCCAGACGGCTTCATCGTTTACGTCCTGAGAATTTTTCGAGCCCGATATCTCTGGAACGTTAAATAGGTGACTGACTGAGACTGCCCTATCTGCGATCATCTTGACGGGACCTCTCGTTCGATACCTACTTTGTGACCAAAATCGAATGCGAAAAAAAATGGGGCCGATCCTGTTCTCACTCTTTTCACTTGATGTCCGTAAAAGAATCAGTCGAAAACTTTAATGTAAGATCCGATAGTTCAGCGTAAAATGAGAGACGATGTACGGTTTTGTTTACTGCGATTATTATAAAAATTTCTATTGTTTGTAATGAGTTTGTGTCAAAGAAATAGGGATATCATAATTAACATAATATTCTCCCGAAAATCGTTTTTAGCCTTTTAAATATTGATTATACTTTTCTTTAATTAATTTTTGTCATTGATAAAATCCGTTATTATAGTTGGAAAAACTGGAAGCCAACACTGCAATCGCTCAATGCCGACGGTCCTCTCTATCAGGCCTTTATTACGTGGCAGGACTGGCAAATTCAGTTAAAGAATCAAGAAAAAACCTCTTCCTCAACATTTTCTAAGAACTCCATTGTGATCTGGACAGATTATGAGATAGAACAACCGTCCTTCGTCATTACCTGGCAGCAAGAGACGGGAGACGGTATTATGGGCAACCAGGTAATTAAACATTTTGCAAACGGGTGATTCGAATCTGAGCTGACGTAGTTTCGATCTCTATAACTATTTTGAGAAACGAAACAGCTCTCAAATTAACGCAAATTCATTACAATTAAAGAAACAAGAAACAATCAAGTAGAATAAAATATCTTTCACAAATGTCATTTCGTACAGTCACAGGATGATAGTTTTTTTATTAATTCTTTTTACTTTCATTTATTTAGTACTTTCAGTGGCACTAAGGCATTTTTTTTAGCACTTTAATCCTGATAATCAGAAAGATCTTCATTCACTAGAATTCTAAGTAAAGCAAGTAAAGAATTGATAGTTGATAGTATTATTTTTGAGATAGTGATATCAAAATATGTAAAAAAAGAGATTCTGTTTCTTTCTAACAAGAAAATAGTTAAAAGGACTTTTTAATATTGCAAGTATACATTTATTTAAATAGTTTGCTTAAATTGAGTATTTTCTAAAGATGACAAATAAAATTTCACTTTTATTAATAGTATTCAAAGTCCGTTAAATAAAAATCGAATATTAAAAATAATTCGGACTCATAGATGTATATCAAAGATTCTATCTATGCAGGTGACAGATGGCGACGCGGCACAGATTTCCTTGCCATGCAACAACAGATATTTGGTCAGAGTGGCCTCCGATGACGGCCCTGGTAGCTACCCGATCGTCGTCGATACTGGGATCTGCGAGAACCCTGAGACATCGATCCAGACCCAAATCCACGAAGAACAAAGATTAATTACCATAACTGTTATGTTGTCGCTGATCTTGTTTGTTTCGCTTGTTCTATGTTTATATTTAAGTTGCCGAAAGAGTGGAAAAGAGAGCAAGACGGAGGCGGGGTGCTTGATGAACGCACAAAAAGAATCTATGATGGGAAAACTGAAAAAGTTACTGAAAAAACTGGCGCATCAACATTTGAACGTTAACGCGAATGTGAAAGCGCAGGACGTGAATGCGAGCACGCCAGAAGTGAGGGTGGTCTAAACCATTGAGTAGCACGAAGACATTCAGTGATTTAGAAAACTTAGGCACTCCTCTAGAAAATTTGCTGGGGTTTTTCCTTCTCGCTTAACTTAGCGAGCACAACTCAGGGACTTTATTTACTCTCATAAGAGAGCGTGGTCTTCCGCTTTCGACAGTGCGCGGAATGAAAGGCGATTCTCGCGTTTCTCTGTCACGAAGGCAAACGAATTATCTCAATATTCACGCACATTATTTACATTAGATCGTATTTATCAGACATTTAACGATGAAGACTTTCAAAGAAATCCTTTACCTCACAAGAATAGCCAAGATATAAATATAATAGAATTTAGGACCCATTTTAGGAATCTTAAATTAAAATTATTTTGTAAACTAAAATAAGTTGTAAATTTTGTAGATAAACAAATAATTAAATTTAAGATGCAGCGAGTGAAAATAATTTGCACGTACCATCTTTTTGAAACAATTTTACATAAAAGAAATAAATATCGTTGCAGAATTTATTAGACTTACATTGTTGTTGATAATAACATAATTGTTATAGCAAGTATTTAATTAAATCTTCAAGTAGCAGCTTTCTCTTTAAGCAGAATTATCAATAAAAAAAAAGACAGAATGTGCCAATGCCATTGCGAGATGTATCGAATATTACTGGTATACGTATACATTATATTTGTTTAACAGTATTTTTGTAAATACTCTACTATAAATAACTATAAAACTATGCGAAAGCAAAGTAGAAAGACGAAATGTACAAATGAGAGCTTAGTATTATAAGGTATACGAATAGTGAATAAGAAAGTTGCGATATTAATTAAAATTCTACAGGCTCTTGGATATTTCTTTTATACAATGGAGTACACGAACACACAAACGCTGTTCTAGCTCAATGCAATGCAACGAATAGACTGAATTCTAAGAGTTCCTATCGCCGAAAATTGATAAGTAGCCTCGAACTCCAAATATTTATTTGTAAATACGTAGCTGCAGTCTTGTATTATACTTGTGTTATATAATTCATAGCAAAATAAATACCAATATCAAGACCAAAAATGCTTACGTTTTATGTTATACATTTCTTTACATGCACATGCAACATTTTAATATAATAATACTTTATAGTATTGCCAATTTTCTGGTGTGCTCCTTCTTCTTTGTAAGAAATCAAATTTTTTGTGAAAGTTAAAAAATTTCAAATAAAGCTATCGAAACGAAAAAAGCATCCCTTTTTTACTGAGAAAAAGAATATTATATGTATATTGTATTATCAGAAATTTCTTTCAACAGGTTAAACATGTTTACTGTATCATATGTACATAATTTACTAATACATTTACAGATTTTTCTTAGATTTTTAATAAATGCAATTAAAAATTTTGTTAGTAAAAAGGTCGGGGGTCCGTTATCAGAGAAAAAGTGCTGAATAAAAAATTTCTTGTTGCTACCGGCTCTGAAGAGGACCTTAGGAGAATCTCCTTCGATTTTCGAAATAACTTTTCTCGAAAACGACCCTTTCTCTCTACTTTCTTCAGCCTCGCTCTTCTTGTCCGCAAAGTGCGTTGAACTCGGATGACGTATTCGCGATGAGTCGACTAAAAAGTCAGAGCAGTACCAGGCGAGCGTACGTTAGTCACACACATGCACGTGCGCATGATGAAAAGTATGCCGTGACCTCGAACAAGGTCCCGTTATCCTAGGCTTCGCCTTGAACGTCTTCGTCCTGCCAGTCTTGACTCAGAAGTCAAGTCAAGATGATGATATTACTGCTCATCGCCACCTTCTTGGTCAACTTTCCTCATCAACTCGCGCGATCTGATGCGAACAATGGATTAATCAGCATTGCTGCGTTAGGGGCTTCCGTGCTGCCCGTCGGACTCGCCGTCGGGACCAGGTATCGTAGATTACAATCGTAGATCTGCTTAGAAGTAGCTCACTCGGAGACAATGAGTAATGCCAAATACTTTATGTATATAATATATTAATACACTTTTCTTTTAAAGCTATTTTGAGTTTACATTTTGTAATTGTAATTTTGAGTATTAAAAAAATTAATGTATCTGTACGGTAGTATGTTGTCTATTGTCTACAAACTATAAGATTATCTCTTACAAAAAAGCAGTATCTCTTACAAAAATAAGCTCGAAAGAACTTTCTTAGTTCTAAGATTCATTGTAGATTTGTCTGTATCGTAGAATTATTACAATATATTTATTACAAATTATTATGTTATTATATTATTTGAATTAAATCGTGTGGCGATCGTGGCGCAGAGGATTGTGCGCTGGTCTGGTAATCCGAAGACCCGGGTTCAAAACCAAACAAAAACGTTGGTTTTTCGTTCGATCGCCACATAGCGAAGTGGATATAGAGAGAGGTGTTATAATAATACATAGCTGTAAACCTACAGTATAAAATATAAGATAGAAAAAACAATGTAGACACAAAGCAAACGCTTAGAAGAAATAGATATGGTTCATTTTTTTTTAAACTAGGCGGATTTACTTTGTTCGAAATCGTCGTTAAGAATCAACGACTGATTTATCGATGCCAGCAGATTGGTCGAGCTCGCTCACATATTATTTGAAATCTTTTCAAATTGTATTGTTGTCAAAAACTTTCTAAATATTGAAAAAATTTCAGTTATTATTTTGTTTCGATAACAGGAATTAATTTATTATTTTCTGTCAATGAACTACTTAATGAATCGTAATCTTACCTGACACGGTGTGAGCGATTAGAAAAGACGTAAATAATCATAATGGTGATTAAAATAGTAGACTGGGCTTTAATAAATCCTAACCGTGTCAATGTCATTTTAATCGAGAGTTTCTTATCTTCAAGAATGCATCATGCAACTGTAAGTGATTTTTAAATCAGGTTAGCCGTAAGTAGGCGGTAATTCTTTCTGTGCGTTAATCACTTCACGCATTCCTGAATCATTCTCAAACGTCGTTTTCCTTGGCACGATGATTGAATTTATCTTTATGCGAGAAAATGTTTTTCTCGGGCTATTAATAAGCGTTTGTCTGATTGATTAAAACGCGAAGAATCTGCGAAGGAATATTTGCGAAGACATTTCGCAACTTTTGCATATTAATAGATATTGATAGGTATTTGTGTCGCTAATTCCTATAATTAGCGAGAATAGAAGAACTTGTTACTAACCTATTATGCTTTGGTTTATTATCATTTTATCAAATTTTATCATTTAGATACGTTCCAAAATGGAAAAAGCAAGCGTGCGAGATACCAGCATCCCAACACCCGAATTCACACTACATTTGCGACGAAGCTGGTGAAGTGAAATGTTTGCCAGGTATAAAGAACAATTGGTTAAATTAGAATAAAACTCTATAGCTGAATTAAAATATATTAAAGAAAATAAGACAAAAGAAATTAATAACAGTACATGTCTGTTCAATAAGAAAGCTAGATAACAAATGAAAACACGATTAAAATTTATATCATTTTCTTCTAATGCAACACAAAGCATTATTTATAATAAAACATCGTCTAGGATGGACCGGAGATCTTTGCGATGTACCGATTTGTCGCAAGGGTTGTGACCCTCTCCAAGGCTACTGTCGACGACCAGGAGAATGTCGTTGTAAATTGGGTTTCTATGGCGAATTGTGTGATAAATGCGTGGCTTTACCAGGATGTCAACATGGAAGGTAAGATCAATTACTTTAAATTACGCATTTAATTTACGCAATGAAAACAGGTTACGCTTTAAAGTGTGTAAAAATTTCTTATCGACGCTTTACATTAACACGAAACACTCTTGTCAAAAAAACTTGAGCTATATTTCAGCAAAAATATTATACACATTTCGTTTTAATGTATAAAGTCAAGTAATTAAATATATTATGTGATATTAATTTATTACTAATAAAAAATTTATATTCAATTATTACTGCAAATAAAATTTATTACATTAAATTAATGTTAATTAAATGTACATATACCAGCTACGTTTAATTTAGTATGTAATTAATTATCTTAACGTAAATAATAGGTCGTTAATTTTTGTCTTTAATACATCATTAAAATTTTTCTTTTCTTCTATTTTTCAGTCGATTAATTTTATAAAATCTTTATGAAATAAGAAAGTCAAACTTTATCTCTATTATTGCTTATAAAATCTTTCAGATTAGATAAGATTTAAATTTACTACTTTTACTAAAAAAATATTTCTTCAAATGTTCAATACATTTCTTTTCTACATGAGCGCGAAAATCAAACGTCATTTATATCCGCGTTAGAGAAGATTGCACTCTCTAACTCTCGTTATGTTCGATAACTCCTTGTAAGTAACAATGAAGCACCCACGCGGATAATGCAGCACAATTTATCGTATCGCACACATACGATATAAATTGAACGCCGCTTGAATAACTACAGACCGTATCAGCTTCGCTTTGCTTTCACCTTGGGTGAGCGAACGAGCCTAATTTCCGTGTAACACGAAACGCTTCCTCGCTTAGAATGGTCTCTCGTGACCATCGATCGATTCTGTTCGATAGACAGACAGAGACTTGACGTTGAGATTTTCACTTTCAGGTGTAACGTGAGCTTCGAGTGCTCCTGCGATCCCGGTTGGAAAGGCATGTTCTGCTCCGAACCCGTTTGCGCGCCCGACTGCCTCTCCAGTCAGGGTTACTGCGAGAAACCCGGCGAATGCAGGTGATTAATCTTGCACGTCCTTATGCGTACACGTGTATGCTCTATATTTTTCCAAACATTTTCACCAAGATTGAGTTTACATACTATTAACATCAAAATATTAAAAGCAGATTGATCAAGAACAGATTTTGCAAATTTATTTGCCATTTTAAAACATTCATATATTATTATAAAATGAATAGAATAAAATACGACAAAGAACTAAATTATTTCATTAAATTAGAATATTAAAATATAAAAAATATATAGAAGAAAAATATTTTATAAATTTGAAGATGTAGATTTATAATGTTAGATATAACTGAAGAATGTTTCGATGCAACAAATGTAACATAATTGCCAGGGTTTCATCGGCACAGCTGCGCCCGGAAAAAGGAAATCAGACCGACATATTTTCTTTTTCAGATGCCGTTTAGGTTGGCAAGGCCCCAAGTGCAAACAGTGCGCGGTTCTGCCGGGTTGCGCCCACGGGACCTGTCAAGGGCCCCTCGAGTGTCGATGTGATCCGGGTTGGACCGGACTGCTTTGTCAAACACGTGAGTTTATTCCCGAGAGCAAACAGAAGAGAAACTCTTCTTAGAATAAACGGAAACGTGACTCTCACCGAGAACTAGCTTAGTTTCCTTCTATTCGGATGGAGACAAGAAAGACAGAATCTTCCTCCAATACAAGAGAAGATCCTTTGTTGACCGACTTTGACAACATATGAAAAAATATATACATTGAAATGCGCGAGACTTGTAAAAAAAAGAAGAAAGAAATAACGTCTTGAATCATGTATGTTTGTTGAACAATCTTTTCTCGGAATCACCAGAAATATTGTTCTCTCAAGAAAATTCTTAGCAAAATAGACGGATTATGTATCTCGTTTTTGTGATTTTATAAAATTAAAATGCAATAATATCTTAAAGGAATGAATATTGAAATAACATTATTTAAAAATTATATTTAAGAAAGCTTTCAATCTTTGATTTAGATTTTAATTGCTAAATTATTTCCATCAAAGAAATGGAATTATCTGAACGTATTTTCCGATGGATATAATATCGTTAATATCTAATAAAGCTCTAATATCAAGAATTAATAGCATTATAATGCAATAGATCGATAAACTGACTAATAATACTGACAAAATGCCGCTTATTAGCGATCTGCGCGCAAGGATGCAGCCGGGAACACGGCGGCTGCAGACGACCAGGCACATGCAGATGCCGCGTCGGCTGGACAGGAGCGAATTGCACCGAATGTGTACCGTATCCTGGATGCGTTCACGGATCGTGCAAACGACCATGGGAATGCCGATGCGAGCCTGGCTGGTCTGATGATCTATGCAACGAGAAGCTCACCTATTGCGATGAGCATCCCGATGTTTGTCGAAATAACGCTACTTGCATCAGCATGACTCAAGAGGATGGCGATTACAGGTGAGATAGAGCAAAATTTGATCCTACCTCAGTTGCAAAACAACACGAATACCTAGTTATTGCAATCTGTGTATAAACTTACGTTCAATATGACATATACTATTGTTACATTATATTTACTATTATTCTACTGTCTATTCAATTATTGGTAAATATTTCCCTTTACATAGCACCCGCCAATCAACTTCCGTTTGACCTTGATGTTGACCTTGACCCCCAAGGAGGTCAAGGTCATTGCCCATTCCCGTCGCTCATTGTTTGTTAAAAAGTTATGAAGAAAATAAGTTTGGTTTATGTGTAAGTTGCAAGTGCGTTTAGCACGGCGCGCTGCGCGCGCCCCACCCCCCTCCCGCCTCACCCCCGCCCCCTTCCCCTCTTCCACCCCACCACGCAACCCATGTTGTGTCGCTACAATTCGTCGGTATGACAGAAGGTGGCAAGTTGCATAGACATAAAAGATAGACCCAGTATGTGTTCCCAACGTGTCACTATCTT